ATTAATGATATTGTTTGATTTCCACATTCTGTGGGATCACCTTTCTTTGGAATGGGTACAAATATGGATCTCTTCCAGTCAGTTGGCCAGGTGACTGTCTTCCAAATCTCCTGGCATTGATGAGTAAGTACTTCCAGCACAGCACCTGTTTGTTTTGCTTAATGATATCTTAGAATCAATAAAATACACTATTAATACAGGAAATCCTGTGAAAGCCAGAACCCGTATAAGGCAGAAACTTGTCCAAGAAGGAAAACACCAATATTTTCCACTAAAACAAGTGACAGAAAGTGCTAAGACCACCCTTGTCAAATGCAGGAAACCTGCAAGACCCAGGAAAACAAGGCGGCAGTCCTGTCGAGTTGCAGCTCTCCCAGGCTTCACTGTCATAATCCAAGCTGCCCAGGAGGTAAGAAGGCAGCAGAGGTGGCAGGCCATGTCTGGAGTAGAAGCAGGAGAGGCAGAGAGTGGATGGTAACAGCCACCGTTTCCTGCCAGGCAGCTGAGCTAAGTCAGTCCTCTCTCGACAATGCCCCTGTGGAAGCAACAAGAGACTGAAGAGTGAAATGAATGGCCTGAGGTCACACTTAACAGGTACATACAGCCTAAAATTAACAATAACCAACCATTGTTGTGTCTGCCTACTCTGTGCCAAGCACTGTATCTCACTTCACACATGGCATCAATTCCTTCTCCAACTGCCCTATATTTACTACCCCTATCTTACTGATGGGAGCGCCAGTGTCACAGTACCTAAGGCATCTCACTGCTAACCAGAAGGCTGGTGGTTCAAACCCACCAGCCACTCCTTGGAAGGAAGGTTGGACAATCTACTTCTGTAGTGTTATCGCCTCAGAAACCCGAGGAGGGGTCACTATGAGTCGGATCTGACTCAACAGCAGTGCGTTTTTTTTTGTTTTTAATCTTACTGATAAATGGAGGCTCAGAGTGGTTAAGTGATTTGCCCAAGATTGCACAGCCAGAAAGTGTTGGGACTGGAACTGAAAGGCTAGACTTCTGATTCCCAATGCCTGTCTTCCCACTACAATAAGGCCTGAAACTTGCAAGCTACAGCTGGGCCACACAGTGAGACCTTGATTCAAATCCCAGCTCTGCCACTTACCGTCTAAGGGACCCTGGGCAAGTTAATTAATCCCCTAGAGTCCCACTATACTCAGCCAAAAAAAAGGTGAGGAAACCAATACCTACTGCAGAGAGCTGCTGCAAAGGTTATGTAAGGTAACATTCACGAGTGCGTGGTATCCTGCCCACTCCACACGCCCTCAGTGAACAGCAGCAGTGCCTACTCTCCCTGGCTCTCACCCTCCACTCTACTCTTTCCTCCTATTGTGTGTCCTCATTTCTCCACCCTTTGCCAGCAACTATCCCCTTCCTAACCCTGTTGTTGTTGTTGTTTGGTGCCGCTGAGTTGGCTCCCACTCACAGAGACCCTGTGTACAAAAGAGTGAAACACTGTCTGGCTGGGCACCAGCCCCACAGTCCTTGCTGTGCTTAAGCCCATCACTGCAGCCACCGTGTCAGTCCATCTCATTCAGGGCCCCTCCCCCTACTTCACTGACCCTCCACTTCACCAAGCATGATATCCTTCTCCAGGGAATGGTCCCTTCTGAAAATATGACCAAAGTAGGTGAGACCTACCATTCTTGCTTCCAAGGACCATTCCAGGTGCACTTCCTCTAACACAGGTTTGTTCACTCTTCTGGCAGTCCATGAGAGTACCTCAGTATTCATCACCAACACCACAACTCTAAAGCATTAGCTCTTCTTCGGTCTTCCTTACTCATCGCCCAACTTTCACATGTACATGAGGTGAGACAATACCATGGCTTGGGTTAGGTTCACCTTAAGCTTCAAAGAGACATCTTTGCTCTTCAGCACTTTAGAGAGGTCTTTGGCAGCAGATTTGCCCAGTGCAATACATCGTCTGATTTCTTGACTGCTGGTTCCATTGGTGTTGACTGTGGAACCAAGTGATATGAAATCTTTGACAACTTCAATCTTTTCTCCATTCATCATGATGCTGTTTACTGATCCAGTTATGAGGATGTTCTCGGAGTGAGTTTGGGTTTTCCTAACCCTAGACTCCCTTATTCCTTACATAGTAATAATTGTGATAACTCAAATTACTGAACACTTACTATGTGCATTAAAGGAGTTCTGGTGATGTAGTTGTTAAGGCACTTGGCTGCTAAACAAAAGGTCAGTGGTTCAGACCCACCAGCTGCTCTGCAGAAGAAAGCTGAAGCAGTCTGCTTCCGTAAGGATTTACATTCTTAGAAACCCAATGGAGGTCACTATGCGTCAAAATTGACTCAATGACAGTGAGTTTGGTTTTTGGTTTCAGTACTATGTGCATTACTTCATTTCATCCTCACAGCAACCCTATGAGATGGGCACTATTATTAGCCCCAATTTATAGAAGCAGAAGCCGAAGTTCAGAGATGTTCAGTAACTTGCCCACATAGCAGAGCTGTTGTCATTAAAGTCTGAGCTCCTAGCCACTCTGCTATCCTGCCTACACATCTCCAGACCAAAATCTCTCACTCCAGGGACCACGTGCATCTTGTAAAAAATGCCAGTTCCACGTCCTGGGCTCACTGAGCCACTATTGTTTGTGCTAGCACCAGGAATCTGTATTTTTAAGACATACCCTACTCCCAGGTGATTCTGATCAACTCTATAATTTGTGACTGCTGCTCTAGAAAGGGGTCTTCTCTGACCACCAGATCTAATGTAGAAACCCTGCTTTGTTCCATCCCTGTTCCTCACCCCAATCTGTAATTATGTAATTGTAATTTATAATTGTGTCTCCCCTTTCCTAATTTATTTTTCTCCAAGATTTACCACCATCCGACACGATAGGTCTTTTTCTTACTCTCTTGTTTCTTGTCTGTCTCCTCCCACTAGAATGTCATGCCCAGGTGAGCAGGGACTTGGACCACTTTGCCACAGCTGCATCTCCAGCACATACAACAGTGTCTGGAACTCAACAAATAAAGGGTTGAATAAATGAATGACGACTCTTTGGTATTTTTTAATTTGTTTACTGTGTGTCTCCCCACTAAAGTGTAAACTCCATAACAGCACAAACTGAAGTAACTTGTTCACAGCTGCCTGAAAGCAACAGCCCAAGGACATCTGTGAAAACCTAAGTCAGATCATATCTGCTCTACTCAGTGTCTATTAGTCATACTCAGCATAAAAACACAAGGATAACCAAACCATGGTACATACACACAATGGACTATTATGCAAACCTAAAGAATAATATAGACTCTCCAAAACACTGCATAACATGGACGAACTTGGAGGACATTATGCAGAGTGAAATGAGTCAATCACAGAAGGGCAAATATTGTGTTAGTCCATGATTTTAAAAAGTCAAGTAAAGGTTTATACATAGAAGGAAACTTTCTTTGTTGGTTACCAGAGATGGCAGGGGAGGGGAGGCTGAATTAAATTCCTACATAGGCTGAAAAAAAAAATAAATATATATACATATAGAAACCAAAGACTATTAGTGGTTACCAGGGGTAGGAGGGAAGGGAAAGGGGAAGCTTTTATTTATGGGGCACTGAATTTATAATAATGGTGGTGGAATATCTTGGAAAAAGGATAGCAATAATGGTGGTGCAACATGAAAAACGTCATCAATGTCCCTGAGCCGTAAATGGGGAAGTTGTTATGTTGGCAGATGTCTAGTTGTGTACGTTCTCACCACAATAAAAGAGGAAAAAAAAAAAAAAAAACAAGGTCTAATCAGACAAGCTGTCCACATCATCCCACAAACCTACCATCCTACCATCCTACCTCCTCCATCACCTGCTCCAGCCAC